TGGATGTCGTCCGTGAGGTCGTTCCACACGTCAACCTTGTGGTGCGGCAGGGCCCAGTCCGAGTTGTGCACCTCCGGGAAGCACGACGACAGGTCGCCCTGGTTGTTGGCCCGGCACGCGTAGAACGAGCAAAAGTACAAAATGCCGTTGCCCTCGAGGATCGGCTGCTTCTGCGTGCCTTGGTACTGTGCGACGATCTCGGCGAGGAGACGGGGACGTACGTTCGAGTGGGTCGCGGTGTCCCATGTCCGCACGCCATCCAAGAGGCCTCGGAGGGTGTCTGGGTTGGAGAATTGCGGCCCGGCGTCGTCCTCGGTGGCGCCGTGGACGACCTCGCATTGCTTGAGCAAAGGCTGTACCCCAGTGTACGCTCCGATGGCGCTGCCTTGCACGCGGTTGGCGACGTCCCACGTGTAGAATCGGTCCGTGTAGTCGTAGTCGTACGTCCACGCGGTGGGGCTCGAGATGGGCGGGCTTCCGTTCCCGATGAGAGCTTCTTGCTGCGCGCAGTGGAAACGACCGTTGATCGTGTACGTGTCCCAGCCGGATGCCTCGCGACTGGTGCAGCGAGGGATGTCGATGCGGTTGTGCTTGCCGACCGTGAACGGCGCCGTGGGCCAGTACTTGACGCCCAGTTGGCTCGTCGACTGCCGCCAGATCGTGGGGTAGTTGGCCACCTTGTCCGGGTTGCACGCGATCACGTTCGACACGAACTGGTGCAGTTTCTTCAAGTACAAGATCGGGCCTTCCACGGGGTTTGTGGCCGCGTCGCCTGCATACTTTTCGATGAACAGGACGCGGATCGAGTTTTCCGTCAAGCACTGCACAGTCGCGGTCGTGATGGACGCGTAGCTCGTTTGAAGGCATCGCTCTTCGTAGTACGCGTCGCAGTACTTGGCAGGGGGCACATACGGTGCCTTGGTCGTTTCGTAGGTCGTGGGGCGAGGCGTCGCATACGTGGTGGGCCGAGGCGTGCGTGGTCGTCGCGTTCGCGGCGCTTGGGTGGTCGTCGTGGCCACACCTCCGTAGCCGCTGTTGCCGTAGCCGTCCGAGTAGCCGTAGCCGTCCGAGTAGCCGTAGCCGTGGTCCACAGGAACGGTGGTGGTTGGTGCCGCCGTGGTAGTGGTAGGAGCGACAGTCGTCGTGCGTGGGGGTTGCGTCTTGGCGGGACCCGCACATAATGCGTCCACCGAGGCAGAGGCGCGGTAGAACAAGGTCAAGCACTGGTCTAAGAAGAACTCGCGAAGGGGTTTCCCACCGCAGTTGGTCCACGGCGCTCCGTTGAGGAAGCAGTGGTATTGACTCAAGTGCGGCAAGCGCAACGCTGGCTCGTCGTCGAGGACAATCGTCGGGTACGGTTCTTCGGCGTGGTGGACTTCAGTGACATAGCTGTCGGACGGACTGTACTCGCTGTAGTCGTTCGAGTAGAGATTGGGAGGGTATCCATCGTAGTCGTCGTAAGACTTGGCTGGCTCGTACCCTGAGGGCTTTTCGTTCTCTGGTTCGTCGTACGCTGGTTCATCGTACACTGACTTTGTAGTCGCGGGGATCTCATACTCTTCTTCGTCCTCACCATCGTAGTCTTCGTCGTCGTAACCTTCGTCATCATACGAGCTTTGAGCTGGAGGTGGGACCGGGGTAGGACAAGGGGTCGTAGTCGTTGGGGCAGGTGTAGTCGTCGTTGGAGCCGGCGTCGTGGTAGTGGGAGCCGGGGTTGTTGTCGTAGTCTCAGGCGTAGTAGTTTCTGGGCATGGTGTAGTGGTGGGAATGGGCGTGGTAGTCGTTGGCGCTGGCGTGGTGGTGGTTGGGCAAGGTGTGGTTGTAGTTGGAGCAGGGGTGGTGGTAGTGGGTGCAGGTGTGGTGGTGGTTGGAGCAGGTGTGGTGGTAGTGGGTGCAGGGGTGGTGGTGGTTGGGCAAGGTGTGGTTGTAGTTGGAGCAGGGGTGGTGGTAGTGGGTGCAGGTGTGGTGGTTGTGGGTGCTGGCGTGGTGGTTGTTGGAGCAGGGGTAGTTGTAGTTGGAGCAGGGGTGGTGGTAGTGGGTGCAGGGGTGGTGGT